AACATCCTGTGCGAGACTATAATGGACCTCTTAAAGACCGAATACTCGAACTGAGTAGAATTTCTCTACAAGTACCATTCAACCGCATCCAAACTAAATGTCGAATACCATTAGTTATTTTCAATGTAATACGAAGTTATTATTCGATAAAAATAGAATCCAAATTAATATTAAACTAATTTTCCTGTCTGTCGTGGTTAAATATAATACGGCATCGTACATTCGAGTAATGTTGCAGAATCGATAGAAGTAATAAATGAAATTTCATTAAATTAATACGAAAGTAAATTGGTCTTTTAATGTAATATATTTATAGTAGATTTGGGCATTTCAAAATTATTTCTTCATGCGTATTACCAACTAAAAGTCGTATTGATCCCTTTCAAAATGGACCGACTCCTAAGTCGCTGCAGTAAAACTATTTGAATTGTAAAAATTTGTTCTATAAATTTTAACTCGTAAAGCTTGAGTATGACATAAAAATTCTTACCTTCCCGACCTCCGTCGATCTTACTTGATAGTCTTCAAACTCTAAGACTTTGGTTACAAGCACATCTTCATTGTTTCTACAAATTTAATATTCAATTCACCAACCAAAAAATATATTATTCAGTTAGTTAATACGGCATTATAAATTATATATAAATGCTATAACATGTCTCACTACATATAAAACTGGCGAATACTTATCCATTATTATAAATTTTCTATCTATAATTTATAGAAATGTATTAAGTTTAAATCAAATACAGTCTAAATAAAACTACTTTTGGGAAACTATAACAATCTAATATCTTTGAAATTATTTTTCGTATGTATTGGAAGGATAAAACAATGCAAAAACAGTTTATAAAAACGTTAAATTATGGAAATTATAAAAAATTCATATTCATTCACCATTCTGTTCGTCTCCATGCAAGTCTCTATTACATGTAAATTAATTTCATATCGATTTTTCACATTAACATTTATATTGATTCCCCTAATCAGAATAATAAACAAAATAATTATAACAATGATAATAATAATAAGAAGCCAGAAACTGTAATATCTCTTCAAATATAGATATTAGGATTTTTATATGATCGAATAAACGTCGCTTTCGAATGAACATTTAGGTTAGATGTATTGGAAGAATTAAAAAAAAATATAAAAAAAAATAAAAAGATATATATTAACAATGAATAAAGCTTCATTAATGTGTAACAATTATTGTTGAATAAGCATTTATTTTCATTCGATCTTCCTAATAATAAAACTTACAAAAATAATAATGTATATATCTACTGCCATAACAATGCATTATTTCGAGCTTAAGATTTTCCTAAGAATATCGAATCATAGAAAAATATATTTTCAATGCTGAGTGCCTCGAAAATCGATCGTTTGAATCCTCGATTCACCAATAAATATATACCGTCATCATTGTCCATATCTATCTGGTATCGATAAACCTCTCGAACTTATATTCTTTTCACTCAGACCAATATTATTTAGCTCCAAAGACGTGTTTTAAGAAACTTCCATAGAAAAAAAATCTACATTTCCAAATAGCGTGTAACATATATTCTATCTATGTGTACGAAAATTCAATGTACACTCGTATATAAAATTATTAAAAGCCGATAATATAAAGAAACAATTGTGCCGAAGGGTTGTATTTGCAGGGAACATTATGTCTAAGTACGTATTAAAGTTATATTTTCTTTCGAGTCCTTCAATAACGTTGTCCAATTTAATGTAATGCCACTTTAATGAAAGTAATATAAAAAGAAATTCAATATTAGACAGAGGATTATTTTTTTAATTAAATAGATGGGAAAAGGTAAAGAAAAAGGACAAATACAAAATCGAATAAGTAATACAGGATTACAAGCAATGGGACCATAGCAAGGATTTAATTAATTCCTAATACAACACTACCATATATTTTTTTTTGTATGGTACGATTTTCAATTACCCGGCCGACACTTTGATGCCCATCCAGACACATAATTTTAATCAAATTTCCAACAACAAGATTTTCCCTACGCAAGTGTCTTCAAAGCAGCATTTTTACTCCCACGTCACGTAGTCGCCGCAACACTGAGCACATGTTTGGTCACTTCGTCAGCGACCCGAGAAATACGCTCCCGGTTAACCAAAGCTTTTTCAAGCTCGCATTGGCCGGTCTCGTGGTAGCCAATTGCAAGCATAGCCGAAGGAAGAAAGGGATCCTTGAATTTCGAGGCAATGCGGATGCAGCACCTCGACCCGCCGGGCACTAAGAAAAGAAGAAGCTTCTGCGAGGAAAGCTCGGTAGGAAGGAAGTGGCAGTACAACTGTCATGTCATGGGTCACTTGATTGCTCGACGACTCTCCGCTTCGAACATAAAAGCCACTCTTTTTCCTCCCTCTTATACTTCTTCTTCATCATTATCTTTATCTTCGTCATCCTCCACCTCCTCCTCTTCCTCCTCCTCCTTCTCCTCCTCATCCTCCTCCATTTTCTTCTTCATCCTCTTCATCCTCTTCTTCCTCATCCTCTTCTTCTTATTATATCTCATCTACCGTGGCTGGATGTTATTATCGCTGCTCCTTCCTACGACTTTGAAAGCAAACTGTCGCACATTCTCTCGTCCAAGCCAACTTTGTCTCCGTCTCCCATTCCGATAAGCTGTAATTCTCGTCAGTCATTCTTGTCGCTGCACACCTCATTATCGAATACTTCTCCTCCTTTCTCGACCCGCTCCCTTCTCGTTCTTAATCTTATTCCTTATATAGGCATTCTCTCTCTAGAGTTTCTGGCGTTTCGCTTCTTGTTTAATTCCATGCGCAATAGCTTAAAGCAGTCATCGCGACTAACTGTACCTTATACTCCTACACTTGACTAATGTTCGCAACCCCCCTTCCCCCTCCCCCTACACTCTATGTCTATCTCATTCTATATAACCAACTAACTATCTATTTGCCTATCAATCTACCTTCTCACTCAGCTACACTAGCTCTATTTCTCTCCCCCAGCACGCGGAAAGACCTCGTACCTGACAGAAGTTAGTGCATCGGAAAAACAATGATTTTAAATTTATTTAACGTGGATTTTAAGTTGATCCTTGAATTTTCAACTTATTCTTTGTTTTAATTAGTTTAATGACAAATGGCGAGATCTGTCTTACTTACTCCATTTTTCCTTAAATACTTTGGTAGCACAGTAAGAAGTTTAGGATAACGAGAAATAATAAAATACGTAAGGTCAAGCCAAATCAAACGCTAACATAACTTGCTAATAAGAAAATTCCATCGCAATTACGATAATGATAAATTAGCTGAAATATGATCACTGTCCATAATATGGCGATTCAATAACTTTATAAATATATTAAAAAGCAAAAAATTGAAACATAACTTCATGGTTTACTTATATCAGTGAATTGAATAATTTGAAAACTGCTAATAGTAAGAAAATAAGGCATTGCTTCAATCGCCGAAAATAAGCGAATCGTTAAAAAGGTTTATAAATATTTTGTGAAGTTGAATGAGAATACTATAGTATTTCATTAAACCTTCGCCTTTAACGTAACCTCCTGGCCAAACCTTCGACTTGATCATAACTTTTTTTACTTCGGTTGCGCAACCTTTAACCAATGCAACGCAATTGTAAATCCTAACGATAAAAATAATGGATTTCAAAAATGTACTTTTTGAAAAAAGTACGATTTTCCAAATATGAAAAGTGTAAGTATTTTATGCTCCACGTCGTCAGGCATATTTCATTGGGCGATACAGTAGTACGAGAAAAACCAGTAAGAAATATGAAAGTCGTAAAAACCGGCAGGTCACAGAGGACTATCGAGAGCTGGTGCGAAGCTAAAACATATAATAAAATCAAATTTGTATCGATTCGGTGTCGCTTTCCTTCTGACGCGTCTCTTAACATCAATCCATCTCACCCCTTCGCCCTTATAACCCCACACTCCATCCTCCTGCAGAGTCCAACGCCTCAATCGAGCCTCGCATAAGAGCAATCAAGCGTGATCGTAAAACGAGGATTCGTGGAATTCACGTAGCTCGAACATTTCATCAAAGCGCGGAGGCGAAGTTTTTTTTTTTTTTTTTTTTTTTTGAGAAGTATCGAATGCAATTGACAGCCAATATCGTTAAATTTCATGTCATACAATTTTACACATTCTCAGCTTGGGTTCGTCGAGTGAAAATGAATTTTATTTCACTTAATTCGTGAATGACCGTACGGTAAGTTAGTGTCGATAATTATTGCTGAATTAAGAACCGTAATTATCCGTCGCGATTGTGATTTTATCCTCGATGAGCTTCAATGCTATTTAATTGCAATGCCTCTGGTTAATATTATCAGGCAAATAATACGGCAGCAGGGGAGAAAAAACCTCCCGATCGTATGCATGAAAAGTTATCGCGGACATATTCTGAGGATTTTTATCCTTGCATTCAAGTTATTTCTAGCTTACACGACACTTTGTCACATTAGACGTGATATTTTTTTAAAAATGATGACCTCCTTCTAAGAAATCAAACCGTCAATTCTCACGCTGCATTTTAGTCGAAATTGTCACGCTCGGCATCTAACAAATTCAAATGCAATACTCACGATAAATAAATAAATAATCATTTAGATCATATGCGTGCAGTAATTTTGCAATATTCCGCATAGAAATAAGGTAACAGTCGCCGCAGTCGTTTTTCCGATATATGTCGCGTGCGCATCCGGAAAATAGGAAAATGCGAGTACCTCGAGCAAAAGCCGCATTAAAACGACAAGTTATCGCGGTTGAAGTGTTCGAGCAGCGTTAAAAAAAAATCGCTATTGCACAAAGCCGATCGGAATCGCAATCAGGATCACAATCGCGTAATCGCAATAACGAGGGCTTCAGTGACTCGTGAAAGCTCGTAGGCCAGGAGGAGGCGACCGGGGGCTAGTAATAGCGCCGAACTAGCGTCCCAAGTCCAAGCCACGCTAAGCCGAACATGAAATCCTTGTGTTCCAGGCGACTTCTCTCTGCGCATCAACCCGGTGGAGCTCGAAGATGACGGGGTTTATCAGTGCCAAGTCTCACCGACGAACGACGGCCAGCCGGGACTGCGCTCCCGGTCCGCCAGGTTAAACGTCCTTGTGCCGCCCCAGAAGCCAAAGATCACCCAGGGCGACTTTCTTATCACGACCGAAGATAGGAAACTCGTGCTTGAGTGCATCAGCATAGCCGGCAAGCCCCCGGCCATTGTGAGTATTACATTTGCATGATTTTGTCGCCTCTGGGATTTAAAATGAGGATCAACCTACCTTGCGACCTCCCTTTCTTGCCGTGTTTCTTTAGAATTTCAATCCCCCCCCCCCCGCACTTTTACCTATTAATTAATGGCGTTGGTCTGAATTCTAGCCCCAAGGATTCTTGGCATTCCATATTTAATTTATACATTTATATTCCGTTTATTTTATTAATTAAAAGATACGAAATTTTTCATAATTAAATATTCATAATAACAATAATGACGATGAGAATGTAGATGTGGATGTCGACAATGACAATGGCAGTGACAATGATGATAATGATAATAAGCAAAATAACTTTGTGAGTTAATTAGAGGCCCGCAAAATATTTACCATTTGCTGTTCTTTAAATTTTGGTTCCTTTGAAAAGGATTAAAATAAAATTTATGTCTTACCCGGATTATTAATGAGCATCGTTCGTAGCATATTATTCCCGCATCGCGTAATAAATAACTGAAAATGACAAATTTCATTTCTGTTTCAAACGAAACGTTTTTATAACCAATTTAGCTCCATCTCTTTGATGCAAAAAGGAAAAAAAAAACGTTAAAGCGGAAAGCAAAAGAAAGAGGAAGCACAACTACGCTATCTTATAGACCAACCTATACACAGTTTACTTATAAAAATAGTCTGGAAATTCTACTTTGCAGTAATTATAAATTATCGCGCGATAACTATTTTTTTTAAATATTTTTTTTTATTTTTGTAATCATTACATAACCAGCGCATTACTCTATTAATTCTTCTGTTTCCCGAGGGGTCTCGACTTCCTCTACCCCGTTTTTTCTTTATCGCGCACATCTCAGCCAACGGGAGCAATAACGAATTTATAAACCGCCGGTAACGCGAAAAAGCTCTAAAGCATAAGCTCCCCTTTTCGGTTATATATCGCTCGGATACAAAATACGTACCCACACACATACACGTATCTTCTTGCGATCATGCATGCACCCGCACATACGTAAAGGCAGAGACAGAGGAAGGGAGACGGGGGGAGAGAGAGAGAGAGAGAGAGAGAGAGAGAGAGAACACCACAGGTGCATGAACGAGCGCATACACGTACGGGACGTATACATGAACGAAGTAATTTGGGATTAAGGTTAATCCCTCTAGTAATCAACGCCTGAAACCGAACGATCGCGCTATAAGTTATAAGTGTAACTTGTAGATTGAGTTGTAATTAAATCGAGCTTAACTCCCGACTGAAAAGAAGCACTTCCATTAACCGGATGCGCGCGGGCTCGCGCGTGCGCGTTTGCGTATGGCTATACTCCTACGTACGTATTTACTGTATATGAATATGTATAATAGGGGAACTGGATTCAGCGGAAGGGACTCATCTTTATTCGGACGCGCTTTTGAAAAAGTTGGAAAAACGATAGAAATTGATTGTAATAAATGCGACAGCCGAGAAGGATGTGAGAAAAATGACTTTGTATAAGATGATAGATATTTGATATGCTGTGATTATTTTCAACAGGATAATTGATTCACCACGAGAAATAATTATTTCTAAAACGAGATATACGTCGATATTGTTATTAACTCAGGTAATTAAAATTCTAAGGAAAAATTATAAATTTCGAAATTTCGTGCTATCGATCAAGAAATAGACTTCCATTTGGCCGAAACAAGCGCTAATTTACATGTTTTCGGTAAAAGGACGCATTAATAACTTTCGCTTCCTCCTATTAAAACGACACGAACGATCGGCTTGACATTAGCTCGTGATAAACATCTTAGCGTATGATCGTTTTTCATATAAACAAAATTCAAAACCGACTAGACTTACGAATTATCATAAATGTTCATTTAGCATGTGGAGCTTGTTTACGTGAAGAAATTCTCGGACCGAGACTTTATTAAAGTCATTAAAGTTATAGCCATAAATATCTTTTCGCGTGCTCCCCCACGGCTCGTGTCGCTCATTATTAATTTCGCGCTACAGTTCTTCTCTCCCCTAAATGTTTCACTACAGTTTACTCACAACTGTCATTAGGTAATCGCACGAATTCGTCGCATTATTTTTTCACGAACAGTATACTGCGCCATACCGCAGTTAACTTAAGACAATGACAAAGAATGACTGCCGAAAAAGCAGACATCCTTCACCTTTTTCTCCCTTCCTCCACTCTTAAACTCTTTAAGCTCTCCTTTGGCCTTCGCCACATACAAGCTCCTCTTCATATTCTTGTCCCTCTTTTCTTCATCCCTCGCGTCTGCTCGGCCTCTCTCTCTCTCTCTCTCTCTCTCTCTCTCTCTCTCTCATCCTCCTCCGCAGCTTTGTAATTTCAATCTTCACCTTTGCAGCCGCTCATGCTACGTCTCCTTGTCCTCTCCTCCTCCCTACTCGCCCTCCCCCTCGACCGTTATAACCCTCCGCTGTCCGTTCGTGATGCACTAGAGTGGAGAAGTAATCGCCGAGACCCTTCAACCCTTTTGCAGTCGCACTTGCAGTTTGCCATCGTGCCAGTTTTCCTTTCTTCCGCACTCGCTTTGAGCTCCGGGCAGGAGGGCTCGAAAGGAGAAGGACGAGAAGAAGGAAGGAGGTACAACCCCTACAGTAGTCGCACGAGCAGACTGCGTCACTTAAATCTCGGCGTCGTTAAGGTCTTACGCGCCGTGCAGCTTCCTATGGACCCTCGAGCTCGACGCGCAACCAGTAGGAAGGAGCTCTCCGCTTCGCATGTAGTTTAAATATAATTAGGCCATAATTACAAAGTGGCCCGTGCAGTCTTCGCTTCGTACGTACCCAGTCTTCGCGTAATTAGGGACGTGTTTGTCTTAGCAGACAAATCCAAGGAGTTATATCTTACAAGTGCCGCTACGTCTACGCTTTGTGTATGACTTTTCTTTCTTTCTAACTTCCAATTCATCTCTTTTTTACCTATTCTCTCCTCGTTTCCTCGCTCCTTATTATTCATATTCCGCTGACTGTTTCGTCCGGTACTTTAACTTTTATTCCACCGTCAACCCCGTCCATGCATAATAGTTTCGCTTGTTATTTCTCTCTCTCTCTCTCTCTCTCTCTCTCTCTCTCTCTCTCTGCCTGCCTGCGTTACTCGTGAACTTTCATTTAACGAGTCGTTTTCGATCTTTGTTATTTTTCTATTTTCCTGCGAAAGTTTTTCAACAGTTTGTATAAAGAATTTTAATTGCGGTCTTCCTTCCTGATAGCACTGACTAATGCTCTCTCTCTCTCTCTTTCTCTCTCTCTCTCTCTCTCTCTCTCCCTCTCTCTCTATTTATCTATCTATCTATCTATCTATCTAAATCAGTACTAAAATACACTGAAAAATCATACTAAATCAATCATAGGTACTTTTAACCACTAACTTATTTTTAATTAAATCTAGAACATTCATAAATTCGATTAAAATTATAAAAATTATTTTCATATTAAATGCTATTCATTTTAGGGCATTTAATAAAATAGGATTTTCATTAAAATTTATACATGCCATTTCGGTAAAATTCTATAATTTCTAACAAACTAGCAATCCATTGTAATAAATGTAATTAAATACAAACACGAAATTACGATTATTGAATTAATACACGTCCAAAGTCCTTATTTGTTTACATTGATATTGTAAAAATAAGTAATTAACTCATAGATAATATCACATAAATATCTCATAAATGTACCGTAGCTCTCGGTAAATTTGGTTTTGAAAACACAACGATTTATCCTAAAATAATTCAACCCATTAATTATTAACAGCACTTTTCCTTTCAGTATTTTAAAAATAATAATTTAAAATAATAATTATCATGTTTTTAATCTATCGTGATTGCGATATATTATCAATTGTATAAAAAAATGAAAAGTACTACATTAAAATATGATACTTTCAAATATTCTAGAATGCAAATAGTACATTCTAATGACTATGAGAAATTGAAATCATTTATAAAAATTTTGACATAATAAAATATGTTGATGTCTTGATGACTACGGAAGATACTCTCATTTATCAGATTTATTAACATTTATAACGGATAAAGGACATTCTAAAGAACGAGCTATTACAATATTCATAATAAAAATTTGAAATTACAATTAAAATGAAAATACAATTAAAAATAAAAAATTGCTACAATGATTTGAGTGAAAGTATATTAATATTGTTATTAATTTACAAAATAGTTTAATTTATACAATATATTATTATGAAAATTACCAATTTCAAAGCATATAAAATATTAAATACAATCTGCAAACTATTTTATAAAACTGTTACTATAAAACATAATAAAATCATTTAAAACACCATAAAAAATTAATTTCACTTAAACCAATTAAAATACAATTAGTTCTATAAACATATACGAAGAGATAAAATCAATTATATCTGACTAAATTAACCTGAAAATATGCTGTAAAATGTAAGGTTCAGTCTATTTCCTTCTTATTATTAAAAAAAAAAAAAAAAAAAAAAGATAAAATTTATAATTTTAAAAATATGATAGATTTAAGTACATTACAAGTTCACTGAGAATTATAATACATATTTCCGTTTAATTTTTTATCAATAGTTTTTTTTATACAGGACAAACGAATCTATCATACAATTGTATTTGATTTGGTTGAGAATAAGTATTGGTTGAAGAAGTATGAAATTCTTCAAAAATTAAATATAAATTTATAATAATTGACCTTTCCTGAAATTATGAATCTCCGATAATATTTACCAGAAGAAAATGCTTTATAACTTAAAGAGTAATAAAAAATTAATGGCTATAAGAAAAGAACTTTCAGAAAGATAAAAGAACTGACAATTTTTTTACAAGTTGCCGAGATTATAAAAAGAAAGTTGATTATATTTAAAGTAAACGTCAAATATTTAAATAAGAGAATTTTAAATATGATAATACAAGGAAAAATTTACAGATATCAAGTAATATTCAAGAAGCTAATGAAAAATCTCTGTATTAATGGGAACGTCTGC